ACCTTTTTTTGTAGACAAAGAATTGGCTCAAGTAAAGTTGGATAAGTGTTTCCCCAAATTTCAATACAGTATGTTAGATGAGGAAGGATTAATGTATTATATAGTAAAATTAGTATAGAACGAGGAATATAGTGACGAATTCGGGATATAATACCAATTTTGGGAGTAATAATTTGTCTCACTTTTTCTATATGAGGTTTCCAGGTAAGTGAGAGGTCGATAGAAACACCTAAGTACTCGTATGTAGCTGACTGTACGCCCTCTATCGGCGTGCCCGTCATAGTTAGACGGCCTATTATTTGGGTTCGTTTTTGGGGCGTTTTCATAATCATATAATTAGTCTTGTCTACACTCACTGTTAGTTTGTTAGCATTACACCATTCTATCACTTTACAAAAGTCGTTGTTAATTGTGTTAAGGTCAATAGTATGTGTTTTCATGAATTTAAACAGATTAGTATCATCGGCAAATAAACGAAAAACAAATGCATTAGTGGATTGGTTAATATCATTAATATAAAGAAGGAAAAGAATTGGTTCTAAAATGGAATCCTGTGGAACCCCGCATTTAATTAGTCGTTTGACAAGATATTTCAGATATTTATATTAAACAATAATTCATAACGAAATTACCTATTCACCTATAAACGATTTTCATAATTACTGATTACACAAGAACGTTACAGAAAAAAAGATAATTTGCTATATTCTCTATATTTTTGCCTTTTATTTGTCTTGAATCGTGACTGAAAGAAGCTGAAAAATATTACAAACTATGTAGTGTGTTTAACAACTCATGTATGAACAATAACTTTAATAGATATGATTTTACTTGGTAAAAATACTGATTTGTTTCTGCATAAAAACGAAAGAATTTCACAATGTCGAAAACGGAAAGTCATTATCGCAGCGTTACATGCACATTTAAACCATAATGCCATACTACTCATTTGACAGTACATGCAGGGCTGTGTAATTTGCATATCCATCGTAACGCGCACTTACAGCGGAGGGATCGCCACCTGCGCACGTGCGAGAATTGAGTCCGCTCAAATACCTATATTAAATTAATATACATGACTAAAGTGGTGTGCGGGGAGAAGAAAGTAGCTGACAACACTCGCCCCTCGTGAAGTTATGCATATACACTATTATAACAAATATTTCAAAGCTGTTATTACGATCGAGACAAATTTAATGGCCGTCGATAACAACTAAAAAAGCAAAACATGCAGTGCCCGGCTAAAAAGTTTGAATCTAATTTGAATCTACCCAACTTATTCGTGTGTACCCCCACATGGTGTAGGCTTCATCGCCACAACAATAAAGATGGTGGCCTCCGTGGTGTTTATGATGTTTGTGTCACACCAGCAAAACACAACAGAATTTAATTCAACACCCACTTTCACAGTAGTACAGCTAACTACGCTCCATTATATCTGGTGTTCTACACTAGATCATGATAACGTTTAATAGAGAAAACTCAATCATTTCGGAACCTCAATGAAAGGAACACAGTGTTACCTGCTACATGCAAAATGTGCATATATCAGATTTGAATATATTATAGTATACGACTTGGGTGTTTGTAAATGAATCCAATGTTTTTACATCATTGAAAGAAGTTGTTAAACGATGATAATAATGAGCGTTAGTCTGGCGTAGAATTTATATGTCTGAATTATTCATCCTAATTTTGTATTGCTTGAGACAAATTAAACGAAAATACAATGATACTCAGTAGCGGGTTCAAAAGAGGCCTGCACCTCTTAAGGCCGTCGTCATTCTTAAATATATATCCCATAATGCAACCAGGAATTGTGTCATTGTGAAGACGCACCCCCCTAACTTAGCAACTTTCAGTCCTCAGCTCCTGAGAGCGAGGTTATTTGTAGATATGTTGGTGATCGCCGCTGTGTCTGCGGAAGTACTATGGGAAATTGCATGATGGGAGTGAAAAGTCTTTTGATCAGTAGGATAATTTTAGAAAAGTGAAAACTAGAGTGACTGTGAAATAAAGGTTGGTTTTAAATATAAAATATCATGGAATCTGGATGAAATAATGAAAGGAAATTGAACGGGTATGAAAGTAAATGTGGCAAGAATGCAAGGTCAGAATCCGGGGGTCGAAATACGTCACAATACATCCATCATTATCCATCGGCTGTCAACAACTATGGATGCGGTAAAAGTCTTGATTTGCAGTTTGCGTGAATGGCCGGGAAAAATCATGCCAATTCTGTGCTTCAGTAAGAGTATTTGCTGCTTTTTATGCAATGGAAATTAATTCAAGTAATGCTGCCAAAGGACATTCCCTTCTAGTAAACAAAACAACCCTGGGACGTTTATCTTGAGAAATTGAGAAGACGAAAATCTCTTGGGACAGTCGTTGTTGTGAAACAATGGACATACTTCTCCAGGGTATCAAGGATAGTTTTGATTATTAAAAAAGGGAAACTGCTGCTTTATGGAAAAGCAAAAAATGTCAATGTCATTGACCTGTCATGAATTTGTTTTTGCGTATCTGTTGACCGACTTAATTAGCTGATTATTAGCTGAATTGCTGTGTTATGTCTGTCATCGTTTAGGTCTATTTGAAGTTTTGGACGGAACTTGGCTCAGTGGTTTGGAACTAATTACAAGATACCGTCGCTATTCTGACATCCGTAGTTATTAATGTAGTGAACGATTAATCAAAAGATATGACGTATTCAGTACTTAGTGTGATTGGCTTTATGATTGAAGGTTACGCCCTAGAGTCTTTTTACTGTTTTGTAATTGGTCAGAGTTTTGAAAATGAATAAAGAGAGTTTGAGTTGGTCTTGGCGAGTACTCCACGATAGACGAGTAGAGAGAGGGTGCAGTCCTGGGCAGTCGAGTCCAGTCCTGGAGAGACTTGGGGCGAGCCTTGACGCAGTCTAAGAGAGTCTTGGGTCAGCCTTGCGAGAGTCTTGGGGACTTTTCCCCAGGGCGCTGTGTCTTATAGAGTGCTCGATTGACCGACTAAGACGAGAGCTGAAACGTATTTCGTTGTGTGTGTCTTATTTGACTGTAAAGTTAAAGTGACTTTCCCGATCCCGTACCTCAAGGGGACGAGATAGAGAGACGAGACGAGTTCCCCCCTGACAAGTGTGGAGAACCCGAGAGAAAGAGAGATTTTACCCCTGATAGACCACAGTAATTCTAAATCGATGTTGGTTTTAATTGGTGTTGCCTGTTGTAGAAGTAATAACATTGCGATGTTTTTGAGTTTAATAGTAAATTATTAATATTGAGAAATTAATAGTAAAGGGTAGACTCCCTTTTGATTAACATCAACCAGTATAACCTGGTTGACAACAATGAAATTCTAACAACAAGG